AAAAGGAATTTCCGTTCGTTAGTCTCGCTAAAACTCGAGAACAGCTGAACCGATTTGTCTAATTGTGGTCTTGGAATGTTCGTGGAAGGAAGGAAGGAAGGTTTAAAAGGTGAGAAAAAAATTTCAGGCGGTATGAAGTTTGCTGAGTTAACTAATATAATATATTGTTATATTATATGTATTTCTTCCAGTTTCAAGAAAATGTTGTGAAACAAATGGGTATTAAAAAATCTCAGTAGTAGCACGGAGTCTGGAATTGTGCCTAGTATATGGCAATAGGCTCACATGGGTAACATAAATAGGGAAAACTAAATGTGAAATTGTGCAGTGCCGTAAAGTGCACCTAAGGCCTACCTCGGGCAAAACATTATTGGGTCTTAAAAAAAAACTCAGTAGTAGCACGGAGTCTGGAATTGTGCCCGGTATATGGCAATAGCCTCACTAATAATGGCTAATAGGGGATTACATGGGACTCATAACATAAATAAATAGTGAAAAGTGGATGTTAAATTGTGCAGTGGCATTAAGTGACGTAATGTACACCTCAGCCTTAAACCTCCAGGGATAAATAAATGATGTTATAACATAACCTAACATAACATCACGCCTTTTAGCCCCGAAGGGGTAGGCAGAGGTGCTCATTATGCCACTACAATGTAACACCCACTTTGCACTATTTTTGTTATGAGGCCCATGTGATAGGGGGTTAGCCTATTGCCATATACCGGGCACATTTCCAGACTCCGTGCTACTACTGAGGTTTTTTACAAACCCAGTAATACTTTGCCCGACCCGGGAATCGAACCCGAGACCCCTTGCCCGGCAGTCGCACTTGCGACCACACAGCGAATGAGGCAGAGCACAGTAAATGATATTATATTAATTCAGAAACAATAAATATAATCATATTCAAATAAAAGTAGAAAATCCCAATAACCATCTGCTTAGAAAACTGTCAATAGAATCTCGTGCGCAATTCAAATAGTCAACAATAACAACGCATTTCAATTATCCAAGACACACCCCCGTCATATAACGAACATTAAATGTCTACGTATCACAGCCATGACACTTGTATTAATACTTATTATTGCAATTACTTAGCAATTGATTCGACATTGGTAGACATTATTGTATTCGTCACCACACAGAGTGACATACAAGTTATATTATCCTATACCTATTGTAGAGGTAGAGTCGCGGAGAACCTAACGGGTGACCGGGGCTCCGGCTCGACGTGCAGGAGAAGGAACGGGGTGGTTTTTAGTCAGTAAGAGTCTGACACTCCCTCCCGCCTCACCCAGGCAGGAGGGCAGTCATTTGATGATTTTCCCCCCTTAAAAAAATATCTATTGTAGAAAGCTGAAGATTTTGTTTGTTTGAACGAGCTAATCTCAGGAACTACTGATCCCATTTGAAGCTTCAGCATAGGTTGTAAAACATGATGCAAACTGCACAGAGGGCGCTTCTTCATGAGCTGCGTGCGCGGTTAATGGCAAGCGGCAAGTTAATGGTACATTTAATACTAACATGATGTGCATTTGTGTCTACTCTCTTATGGAATAAATTATGACGTTATGTTTATTTTTTTATGGAATAGGAGGCAAATAAGCGGACGGATCACCTGATGGTAAGCGATCAGCGCCGCTTAATTATTGTAAATCTTACGAATATTATAGTTTGCGTGTGTTTGTCTCAATAACGTCTAATAAGTCTTGAGTGAATGAGTTGTTTATGGGTCGACGTGCTCCATCGTAGGCCGCATTATTGCTTACCACCAGGCGAGATTGTGACCAAACGTCGGCCTATCACATATTACATAATATAAACATCACGCCTTTTTATCCCCGAAGGGGTAGGCAGAGGTGCACACAGTAGTAACACCCACTTTTCACTATTTATGTTGTGAGTCCCATGTAATAGGGGGTGAGCCTATTGCCATATACCGGGCACAATTCCAGACTCCGTGCTACTACTGAGAATTTGTTAAAAACCCAGTAATACTTTGCCCGACCCGGGAATCGAATCTGAGACCTTGCCCGGCAGTCGCACTTGCGACCACTCGGCCAATTAGGAAATCAATACTAAACCATCACATATTAAAAAGTCCTTTATATGGCTGAAGGGATTGGGATGAAATTCGGAACAGTATTTGAGTGGTCTGGAACAACACAGGCTACATTTTTTTTATTATATCACAGATGGGGCCCAATCGGGCTGAAGCCGATCCGGAGCCGCGGAGGACTTAACGGGTTACCGGGGCTTCGGCTCGAAGTGCAGGAGCAGGAACGGAATGATTTTTGTCCGTAAGAGTCTGACACTCCCTGTAGTCTCATCTGGGCGAGAGAAGTCATTGGTTGATATTCCGCCCTCAAAAAAGGCTATTTTTTATTTCACTGGAATGCGATAGAATAGTACAAGCTAGTAAAGATACCACTCATTATAAGCCACTAATATGTTGATAACAAACAAGATTCTTTATAACACCTACCTGTTTATTGTTATCAGTAGTACAATTTTAATTACATCTTTCTAACGAGGAAAATGATAATTTATAGGTACTTACATCTTATCAAAATACTCGTGCCGCTGAAGTATATTTTACTTAATACGTCTTATCTGTGTATATTGACAATTAAGTGATTGAGTTTGAAACACTGACTACGTTTTTACCTATTTCTAAAAAAGTAATGTCATTAAAATGTTATTCAATCTTGTATTGAAAGCGATAAAAAGGGATCAATTTTTTGCTTAATCACACTGAACACGTAATCTTCTTCAATTGTCTGGTTTATTGTTAAGGAGCGTCCACATCTGGCGAATGTGCCGCTCGCGAACCGTTTGCGTATGCGTACTGCCCGCGAGATGCGCGCGTGCAGTCAAGGCAATGGTTTCGTGCTCAACTCATACAAGATTGGTAAAAATAATCATTTTAAATGCACTTCCGCAGCTTGCGTGGGGTTCGCGAGCTGCGCATTCGCGAAGCAATCGCCAGATATGGACGCACCCTAATAAGAAGCTTCTTCAATTGGGATGATGACAGGGTATGAAAATTAAAAATCTAATTAGTCCGTAAGTTAGGTAATGAAAAAATATTAGACACGTATTTTTTTATTTTGTCGTATAATAAAACAATACTTAGATAAAACGAATCAAAGTTTAGGAGTGAGGGCTAAAACGACATTTCTACGTATAAAATGTACATAGAAGTGACGTCACGCGACATTTCAAATCAATATATCGTCTCAAGTATTTGTTACTGTAAGAAAATAAAAAATATGTGTCTAATGATTTAAAATAATCTACCAGAATCTATCTAATAATAAAAATTAGGCATCTACCCTAATGTTAGCTTAATATAAAATACCATCTACATCTTCAGGCTCTAATTACTGAGTTTGAAACCAAAAAATACATTGACACACAACCTAACTCGGGGTTTGAACTCAACATTCGATAATTACTTTATGTCAGTTATTTTATAAGCCCACATATTATGGTAACTATCGAACTTAAAGTCAAACACGTGGTACAAATATAAACTACCAGATTTTAGAAAAAAATAATAGTTTATCTGACAAATGTTCCAGTTATGAAAACACCAAATTGGCTTCAATAAATAACTTCAAAACGGCTCACGAGCTGCGCATTTGCGGCCTATTCGCCAAATGTGGAAGCACTTTTATGTTACCCACACCTTGATCAAACTTGAAAACTCAAGTCAAGTTATTGTTAAATAGGTCAAAATGGTACCTATGCCTAATAGTTTCTAAGTTCAGAATCAATTAAAGACCGAACCTTAAGTTTTTTTATTAGCCTGTCTTTGCTAATTAATAACCGAAAGACGTTAATAATGGAATTCCCCCGAGAAACAGATACGAACAACTTATAAGGCAAGTTAAAAATTTATTTTATTAATACACACTTATTTAATGCAGTTCTCTCATATGATCTCAACCTGTTTTAAACTTCTTACTCTTCCATCATATCTCTTTGATTGACCTCTTTTGCTCAGAAACGAATTACTCAATTATTTAATCGTATTGGGCCTTGTGGTTAGTAGTCATTTTCAGTAAGCCTTTTGAAAATCAAGCCATTGTTCTCCTCCTGAAATGAAGTCCTCATGGACTGTCAACGTCTTAGGGAGGACTTTTATCGGCTAAAATTACCGAGGTGTACCTCCTCTGCCTGTGGTCGTGGCCTGGGATGTCCTTGCGGAATCACCGCAACCGTCAGGCCTCGAATTGCCGCTACATTGCGGCAGGTCCTACCACGTAGGCTGCTTTCCTTCCTCGAGTGGCACGTATGGAACACGTGTAATTTAATCAAATACATTACATAGTTGCACTCATAATAATCATCCGTATTTACAATACACGTGAGGAATAAATTTTCCAATTAAAAATTTTCTCAGAGACCATATGCAATATTAACATGTGGCCTAACGACCCTAGCCTATATGTAAAGACAATTAATGTAGATATCATAGTCACCATGATTCAGCTAGAATACACTATCACGTTTTAAATGCAATTAAGTTGTTGAAAAAAGAAAAAAACTACAACTATTTAACTGATGCTTCAAAGGTTCGTGGAACTATATTTAGATTACAGTTTTTGTCGAGTAATGCATCCACTGTATAGCTTATAATTTTCGCTTAATTTATATTTTTAAATCTTTTTATCCGAGCTTGTTAATAAAGTAATTTAATATGTCGCCTATCTGCTCAGCTGGTTAGTAACTAAAGCGATTTAAATTGCAATTAATTTCATTTAATTTTCCGCATTCATTTGTCTTCCGTATGGTTGTATGGTACGGGTCAAAGTACAAAACTGTAAATCTGTAATAATGTAATTTATTATTTAAAATGTCTATATCATTAATTTACTTAAGAACTATCTTATAAATATTAGCTTTTCAACACTTGATAATTTCGTAGTCTACAAAAAACCAATCCAGTGCACCGAATTGAAAGTCCAGTCAAATTCTAAATATCCAGATCAATTCCGTTTAATTTTAACATCACCAACTATATAAAATCGTAAAACTCTGTACACTAAGCGAAGCACTATAATAATAACTGCGACAGCTATTAACAATACTGATACTAAAATTAAGACTAGATCAAGTTCTAAGTACTGTCTCCACGAGATATTAGCGCTGGGTGAGCGTAAGTGCTTGGCGTCACCATGTCGCAGTAGGTACTCAGTCCACCACACAGCGCGCTCCAACGGTGTCTGCGGCGAATCATTTATTAGAGTGCGGAAACGTTCCATATTGCGACGGTAACTGCAACAAAGAAAAATAATTTTTGAGATTCGTCAATAACTGTAACAAACACCATTATTCTGTGACATTTTTGTTCCGGGAATGACCGATTTTGATTAAGTTGCCACTAGTGCTCGGGCTTCAAATGGGGACTGATGGCTGGACATCCTTAAACATTCTATTGGTCAATCATACGTCACAGTAGTGAACACTGTTTCAAATAGATTTATTCATTCAATTTACGAGTAATACCTTTCGTCTTCTACTGTAGCGTTAATTGCATGCTTAAGTTTTTCTTCAGTCAGCGCTTCCATGTCGAGTCTGATTCCAAAACCATGGTAAACGTATCTTTCTACGTTGAAATATTGGTCACCTAACATCGGCATGCCGACCAATGGAACTCCTGCAGTGATGGCCTCGTCTGTGGACTGTAATCCTCCTTGTGTTATGAACAACTTCACATTGGGATGCTCTGAAAGAAATTCACACACAAATTAGCATTCCTTTTGTGTTATAGTTGATTGGGTAATCTTTTAGGTTTGTTGTTTAATGTATGAACTCACTTAATAGATCCGGTTGTGGGAACCATTTAGCTATCTTTATATTTGGAGATCGACCAGGCAATTCATCTTTGCTCCATTTCCACAAAACATCGTAAGGCAACTGAGAGAACACTCGTACTAATATTTGTATTTTTTCTGGAGGCAATAGAGCAGGATCTACATTGGTACCGAAGCTCACGTATATGACACCATGTTTGGACGAATCTAAGTAAGACTTCAGATCCTGGAATAGGAGATTTGGAGTAGATTACGTCTATTAGTGTACAAAAATTAAGAATGTATCGTTGATAAAGCGGTTCGTACCTGAGGGAGGTCTTTTGCGGGTTTTTGATGCAAACCGTGCAGGTAGACAACATTAGGTGGAACAGGTCTAATGCCGTCAAACATGGGATGTATATTCAGGAATACCATATCAATATTATTTCTTAGTTCTTCAACAGTGGGCACCTCTGGCCCGAAGTGTTTTTTCACTATGTTATTACTAACAGCGCAAAAATTATGCCAAAGATTTTCCACTGCATAATGAGTAAATACTTCTGTGAATTTGTCCCAAAGCGTTAAGTCATTTAATTTTTGACGTACATTTAATGGATACAAGAGTGGATGTGTAGGAGCTCCCACAGATTCATAAGTTCCGAACATAGCACCAAAACTACTGATTTGAATCACAGGTGCCTTATAAATATGTGAGAACACGAGGGCTGGTGGTAAAAATGCTTCCAACATCAACAAATCAAACTTTTGGCTTTTGTCATTGATCAAAGTCTGAATTTTTTCATCCCCCAGTTGGCTATCAAGAACTTTTTGCAAACCTTCCATAATTTCTTTTACTTGGGCTAGTAGGTCACGTGCACCACCTCTTTCTCCTTTCATAAATTCTGCTTGCCATATCCCGTAAGAGATGTCGTGTAGGTCTATTTCTGTCAAGTTCTTTGGTGTTTTTCCTTTCGGGAAGGCGGGGTCTGTGGTGATGACGGTGACATCATGACCTCGGCTGGCCAGTGTCTGGGCCAGAGGACGGTACACCACTTGATGGCTGATTGACGGTGTAGGAATGTAGAAGAGGATCCTCGCGGCTTGTATTGGACTTACCACTAAAATACAGACACTAACTATAAACCAGAGCACAGACATTGTATTAGAGAGTTACGAAACGATTGAACGAAATCTTCGAGCTCGTCTCTATATAAATGTAAAATTATGCGCTGATAATATCATAACAGAAAGGAACAGGTGGCATGACTAAACCAAATTTGTGGATTATTTTGATAAAAAATATTAGTTTGATGATTGTTACAAAACATCTTACGGTGATAATGTCGATGAGAATGTGGTAATCAGTCAATTAAAGGCTTTCTTGTGATAATTAGTCATCGAGGTGCAGTTACTCTAACACACATTAGAACCGTGATATACTTTTAAATAACAAAGTTTATTTAGTAATAAAAAAGGGATTTTAAAAAAATATGTAAAAATCATTACCTGTAATGCTACGACGTTGCTTGAATTGATTTAAATAGTTTTATATGATTGAATGGTCATTAGAAATCAAGGTAATTATCAACGTTTGGTGTTGTATTTAGTAACTGCGCAGACACCTCGACTAGCTAATGATTTTTTTAAATTATAAATTCATTAATGATGTGCTTTTAGATAAACGTATATGTCTCTGAAAGGTACAACAGGGTTTTTGTTACATATTGTATATAAAGCATTGTAGTTATGGAATTATAAAAAGAAAAATAACTAGACTTGCTTAATTAATATGTACTGTGTTGTTGATCGATGACTTTTATTGTGATTGGGGTTTTATTTTCATTCCTACCGGGGTCTCAAATTACGTTTTAAAATACCTATAGATACTGTTGCGTTAATTTATTTACATACATCAGAATAAATTGGCATTTTTGGTAGGTAAATAGAGTAGTAATGTTTAGGTAATCCCGAGCGTATGGCGCGTCGCGTTCCGCGCGGCCCAATAGGGCTGATGCCGATGCGGAGAACCTAACGGGTTACCGGGGCTCCGGCTTGAAGTGCAGGAGTAGGAATGGGGTGGTTTTTAGTCAGTAAGAGTCTGACACTCCCTCCCGCCTCACTCAGGCGGGAGAAGCGATTCGATGATTTCCCCCCCTTAAAAAAAATGTTTAGGCACTAGATAATTTTATTTATCTATCTATTGATAATGTTTGATATCTAAGAATTAAAGATATTATCATGATCACGTATTGACAAGTCTGAACAGGTATTATAAAGTTATCTCATTATATCATAAACATTATTGTTTTATCCATTATGCCCTGGAAGCTGGGAAGGTCTTTGGTGTGGGACGCAACCTGCGTCGACCCTTGCACCTTCTCATCTTCCAGTAACAGAGGGTTGTGCTGATTCGGCTGCTGCCTCTGCAGACCTCAAGCGGCGCAAGTATAACAACCTTGCTGGTAGTTATATCTTTGAGCCGTTTGGGTTTGAGACACTTTTTGAAATTATTCAAAAACATTTCAAAACGCCTGGTTGATACTTCTCGTGACCAGAGGGCTGGTCTTTTTCTCGGTCAGAGGTTAAGCATTGCCATACAACGTGGCAATGCTGTCAGCCTTCTGGGTACTTTCCCTATTGATGTCAATGCGGACGAATTTTTCGATGTATTATGTAAATGGTTGTTTTTGTTTATCTTTTCTTTTATCTTTTAAATAATTTTAATCTTAAGTTGTATATATTTTGTTATTAATTTAGTAATAGTTAGTTTTAATTGCATGAACATTGTTTGAACTTTGGTATTGCTCATGGCATTTTTCAAATTTACCATCGGTGCAAATACTGTACTCTTAGCTGGCGTGTTTAGAAGGGCAGACGAGTAAATGTCATCATCATAATTATGAGCTGATGGACGTCCCGTGTTGAATAAAGAATGGCCCTTGGCCACTCACACATATCCTCCCTCCACTCACCACTTACATATATCCTCCCTCCTTTATGGCTCCCCACAACTCTGAACATGTTGTCAATTCACCTAGCCGGAGTCCATAGGGTCTAATACGAGTTTGTATTCCGTTCAACAAGATCGAAACGCTCTGATTTGTTGGTTAATTTGAGCAGGAGTTGAATACTTGGCCACGGCAATTTCATCTACCGGTGTTTTAACAAATAATTCAGAAGTAGTTGATAACTAACTTAACCAGGCGGAGTTCCTAGGTATTTCCTCAGGGTGGAAGAAACTTTATGGGAATAATTTTAATTTTTTTAGGGGAGCTGACGGTTAGTTGCCTAGTCCTTTAAACAATTTCCAGGAACCAATTTAAAGTTCACATAAGGAGTGGCGGTCACATATGAGACACATAGTTGTACACATATGGGTAAACTTTTTGTTGGAAAAAATATATATAATGTAATGTCCAGTTCAAATAAAACTAAAAACCAAAATACTACGCAAAGGTTAGACAGGTAAAAAATGCCTGCGGCTTTAAGTCCATCTATTTGTATATTTTGTGCATGAAGCATATTAAGTAAATAAATAGGAAATCAGATCAATTCCGTTTAATTTTAACATCACCAACTATATAAAATCGTAAAGCTTTGTACACTAAGCGAAGCACTATAACAATAACTGCGATAACTGTTAGCAATACTGATAATAAGATTAAGACTAGATCAAGTTCTAAGTACTGTCTCCACGAGATATTGGCACTGGGTGAGCGTAAGTGCTTGGCGTCACCATGTCGCAGTAGGTACTCAGTCCACCACACAGCGCGCTCTAACGGTGTCTGCGGCGAATCATTTATTAGAGTGCGGAAACGTTCCATGTTGCGACGGTAACTGCAACAAAGGAAAAATTTTTTTTGAGATTCGTCAATAACTGTAACAAACACCATTATTCTGTGACATTTTGGTTCCGGGAATGACCGATTTTGATTAAGTTGCCACTAGTGCTCGGGCTTCAAATGGGGACTGATGGCTGGACATCCATAAACATTCTATTGGTCAATTATACGTCACAGTAGTGGACACTGTTTTAAATAGATTTATTAATTCAATTTACGAGTAATACCTTTCGTCTTCTACTGTAGCGTTAATTGCATGCTTAAGTTTTTCTTCAGTCAGCGCTTCCATATCGAGTCTGATTCCAAAACCATGGTAAACGTATCTTTCTACGTTGAAATATTGGTCACCTAACATCGGCATGCCGATCAATGGAACTCCTGCAGTGATGGCCTCGTCTGTGGACTGTAATCCTCCTTGTGTTATGAACAACTTGACATTGGGATGCTCTGAAAGAAATTCGCACACAAATTAGCATTCCTTTTGTGTTATAGTTGATTGGGGAATCTTTTAGGTTTGTTGTTTAATGTTTGAACTCACTTAATAGATCCGGTTGTGGGAACCATTTAGCTATCTTAATATTTGGAGATCGACCAGGCAATTCATCTTTGCTCCATTTCCACAAAACATCGTAAGGCAACTGAGAGAACACTCGTACTAATATTTGTATTTTTTCTGGCGGCAATAGAGCTGGATCTACATTGGTACCGAAGCTCACGTAAATGACACCATATTTGGACGAATCTAAGTAAGACTTCAGATCCTGGAAAACAAGATTTAAATCAGATCACGTCTATTTGCACATAGCAATTAAGAATGTATTGTTGGAAAGTATTACGTACCTGAGGGAGGTCTTTTGTGGGCTTTTGATGCAAACCGTGCAGGTAGACAACATTGGGTGGAACAGGTCTAATGCCTTCAAACATGGGATGTACATTCAGAAATATCATATCAATATTATTTGTTAGTTCTTCAATAGTGGGTACCTCTGGGCCGAAGTGTTTTTTCAGTATGTTATTACTAACAGCGCAAAAATTATGCCAAAGATTTTCCGCTACATAATGAGTAAATACTTCTGTGAATTTGTCCCAAAGCGTTAAGTTAGTTAATTTTTGACGTGAATTTAATGGATACAAGAGTGGATGCGTGGGGGCTCCCACAGATTCATAAGTTCCGAATATAGCACCAAAACTACTGATTTGAATCACAGGTGCCTTATAAATATGTGAGAACACGAGGGCTGGTGGTAAAAATCCTTCCAACATCAACAAATCGAATTTTTGACTTTTATCATTGATCAAAGTCTGGATTTTTTCATCCTCCAATTGTCTATCAAATACTTTATACATTCCTCCCATAATTTCTTTTACTTGGGCTAGTAGGTCACGTGCACCACCTCTTTCTCCTTTCATAAATTCTGCTTGCCATATCCCGTAGGAGATGTCGTGTAGATCTATTTCTGTCAAGTTTGCTGGTGTTTTTCCTTTCGGGAAGGCGGGGTCTGTGGTGATGACGGTGACATCATGACCTCGGTTGGCCAGTGTCTGGGCCAGAGGACGGTACACGACTTGATGGCTGATGGACGGCGTGGGGATGTAGAAGAGGATCCTCGCAGCTTGTATTGGACTTATCACTAAAATATAGGCACTAACTATACACCAGAGCACAGACATTGTATACGACAGTTACGAATCGAATGAATGAAATCTTCGAGTTGTTCTCTATATAAATGAAAAATTATGTGCTGATATCATAACAGACAAATAACAGGTGGCATGACTAAACCAAATTTATGGATTATTTTGATAAAAAATAATGGTTTGATGATTGTTACAAAACATCTTATGGTGATAATGTCGATGAAAATAAGGTAATCGGTCACTTAAACTCATTTTTGTGATAATTAAGGGTTGAAGTTCGATTAATTAGTCACTGAGGTGCAGTAACTTTAACACACATTAGAACAGTGATATACTTTTAAATTATACAGAGTGTTCACCAAGAAAGAAAGGGAATTTAAAAAAAAAGTGAACATCATTACCTGTAATATTACGACGTTGTTTGGCTTGATTTAAATAGTTTTTATGATTGAGTGGTGCTTAGATATCAAGGTAATCAATAACGTTTGGTGTTGTATTTAGTAACTGCGCAGACAGTTAGATCAATACGAAAATGTATTATGATATGTGACTTTGCAAAAATTTTATAAATATATTTTCTTCTTTGACCATGTACCCAACTGAATTTTCGCTGTTTTATTCATCTATCACAGACACAATAGTTGAACGAAAATAAAAGAAAAGTTAAATGTTATAGAT